GATTGTCATCTGTATGCTTCAGAGATTGTATATGTTTTGTATAGAAATAAAAGCAGTAAGATCTTATTTAACAATTTGTATAGCACTAAGGTATGTATTTTTGAAAAGATTGCTTTATAGAATGAAAATAATAAATAATTATATTGGTATATTTTCATTTTTAATTTTATAATTATGCTACAAGTGTAACTTGATTGTTTTTATTTTTTCAGAATTTTACCATAAAGCAATGCTAGACGAGTTTCTTTCATTTTCATTTTTTTACATTCTCAAAAATATTTTTAGTTCACTGTTCTAATAACTAAATATTTGCATTTTTAATTTCTAAAATGTGTCATATATGAATTTAATATTAAACAAAATAATAAAGGTATTTTTTTGTGGGAATATACTAATGTAAGTGATGCATCATTGGTACATTTGTCGAATAAAGTTTTTAGTGGCATCCATTCAATAAACTTTTGTTATTATTATTTTACATAATGAATTACTTTGATGAAATGTCCGACCACCTCTTAAATTGACTTGCTTTTTAGTTTAATTTTACATTTTAAAATTATCTTTTTGGACGATCTTATTTCATAATTTCAAAGTTAAAATCATTTTTCCATCTTAATGGATTAATTTGTAAACTGTGTAATTATATTTCATCAATGATTTCTTTATGTTATTTTTGTCACAGTGGTGAATTAAGTTTACCGATAAAAGCGATAGGTTGTTAAACTTGTCACATGGTTGATTGACCTCGCTTTACCTCTTGTGTGTGTCACTGGCTATATTTAAATATTCAGACCTCCGCATTTTTTTTCTCACGGAGATCGATATGGTATTGTGAAATATAAAACTACAATTTACGTCTGTGTCAAATTTGTTTGTACTTAAACACATCTACAGGAAAGACACTATTTTTGTTATCTTTCAAGGTGGAAGAAAGGTTTTCTGTGTTATTTGAACAATGCATCAGTAGAAAAAATAATAAACTCGAAACTGATCCAGAGGGGCCTGTAATGAATCCAAGACCAATTATTTTTGTAGCATTTGTGACATCGTTTTTAGATGATCAACTCCGTTACATTTGTGTATTTTAAAAATTGAGGTAGATAACATAAAATTAGATAAAATAAAATTATAGAGATACAATAATTTGTATATATAAAGGGTTCAGTGTAATTTTAGCTTGTATTGAAACCTTAATGGTAAGGAATCGATCCCTAGATTCATAGCAGACGAAAAACGTACAAGTATTATTATATTTGACTGTACGTTGTTACAATTGTGCAGAGAGTAATTTCACGTGAAGCTATTAGCAAAACAGAACAGTTGTTCAAACTCATTTGATCACCTATCGGTTTCAAACAGTTATGTTGATGATATATGACATATTTTTGTCTAAATTATAATTGTTCTCCGCTGTTTTGCCTTGTTGAAAAGAAACAAAAAAAAAACACCAAAAATGTATCGATGATAAAAGCATGAAGACTGAATGACTCTGTTTTTACTGTTCTGTGTGTGAGTTTTGTGGGTGGTATACTTAGTTATTGATTTTATTGTTGGTGTTATTGTTGTTGCTGTTGTTCAGTGTCTTGAAACAGGCACAGGCAGATTACTAACAGATGTGACTTTAATGTGTTTTCATAAAATATGTTAATAGTAATGATACAAATTTTATTCATATGGAACACTTTCACGAGAGTTTAAAATAAAAAACAATTGCGAAGACCGGAAGTTAAATTGAGCACGAGACATATTTATTGTTGTTGTATAATTGAAAAACTTGAATCGGATGTAAACATGTATCAATTAAAATTGATGGTAAATATAACGCACGCAGGCTGATATATAGATTGTAGATTTATTTTACGGACGTATAGTTTTTGTTGTTGTTTTTTTATCAAAAATGATTTATTATAGATCAACTTCTACCTTTTTTCATTTGAATATAACTTGCACATGATTGGTAAATTACAATTTTTACTTAGTCGTATATGTCTTATATATGTCACTTTCATCAGCCAACTTTAGGCTGCTAAATGCTGCCAAATTCACGGACATAAAAAGAAACATTGGACTTAACAAAAGTTTACTGGGATGAGATTGTGATATACATTCGTGCGAAGAAAGTCCAAGACACATGTATATCAAAATCTAGCCGAGTAATATCAAGATAGGCAAAGAAAAAATACTTGAGCCGCGTCATGACAAAACCAACATAATGTGTTTGCGACCAGCATGGATTCAGACCAGCCTGCGCATCCGCGCAGTCTGATCAGGATCCATGCTGTTCGCTTACAAACTCTATAACAAGTAAAGTAACTGATAACGAACAGCATGGATCCTGATCAGACTGCGCGGATGCGCAGGCTGACAGACTGCGCGGACGCGCAGGCTGTTCTGGATCCATGCTGGTCGCAAACCCATTATGTTGGTTTATTCTTGGCTCATTCTTGTTTTACAAGTTATAAAGGGCCATACTTCTGTGAACATTTGATGAACATCATTTGGTTACTATTTCAGTCTAACCAAGCAGTTAAAATGCCTATAAATAGCCAATGACCATAACTTACAATTCCACCGGAAGATATTGTTGGTAGATACTAAGTCTCATCACACTTTTCTTTTCTTAAACATTCATGCCACGTTTCATTAGACTTTGACAAACATATTCAAAGATATGGTTCCGAACGGACGGCCAAACGATATCACATATTCCATTTTATTCATTTTAATTATTCCCATACATTGCATTATTGTTTTTTCCCTCACATATTTGGATAAATTTCCAGCTTAAATATACTATGCTCATCCTTGAGTAAAAAATCTTAACTACAGAAAATTAGTGAAATCTATGAACTTCTTACTGAATTTGTCTAATTTGAATGAAATAATGAATAAACTATGTATGGGAAGCTGCGTTCCCTTTTACAGGTCAAGTATTTTTTTTCTGTTTATCATTATATTCTAGTATCAAATTTGAGCATAATATATCTTTGAGGAGAAGAAGCTAAGTGTCCCTCCGTGCCGACAAAGTGCGTGCACGAGCGAAAACCTAGTTCTTCTGTAACTTTGTGTGTCTTGTATTCATACTCAATGATAGTACCAAGTAATTAACTTTCATAGTTGCTTACCGTTTTTGTTTTTGCTGTAATATTTACAAAAGATATAAAACAGAACAACCATGTACGCTTTCTTCATTTTTTTATTTCTGTAGATTTTTTTCCATAAAACCATCTAACACAGACTGTTAACAAAACAATGCATTCAACGAAACAACACAATGTGAACAAAATGTGAGGGTTGAAAAAAAATAAAACTCTACAAACATTCAACTACATGTACATTTAAATGATTTGTTTTTTTATACATGTATATGACGTTTCGAACTGACGTATGAAAAAATTGGCAAAAGGGAATAATTAGAAAGATGATGTTGGGGTTTGTTTATTTTTTTCCGATTCAATGAAAATTTAGAAAAAAAGAATACATATGTATATTTTGAATGCTTAGTAACAACATAAAAGAATGTTAACACATATTTTATGAGTTTGCAATACTTTCAGCGAGTTTAACAGCTTATTAAAATAACTTTGAATGCAAAATATTTTGGAAAAGAATTTAGATACTAGTAAGTAGGTGATTGAATTTTGTTATAAAACCGAAATAAACTAAACTGTATTTAAAATAATAAATTGAAATTGACGTAACTAGTTTTTTATTAAAAATAACTGATCACAATGTTGACCCGTTTCATGCGTTTTACGTCAACTTTAATTGTAGATCAAATATAACTCCCTACAGAAACAATTTTTTTATCATCGGAAACAATAATAGAATTTAACTTAACAGTGAGTCTATAAAATCTATAAATAAATCAGCAAGGAGTGTAGCATGGTTTGACATAACATTCATACATTTTATTTATAGACGAGAGATAAAAAAAAACATACAATATAAAAGGAAACAAGTGTTTTATACAGGGACTACTTATTTATCTCTATTAAGCCTTTCCTATGTGCATTTACTCCTACGTCACATTGACATTTCAACTGTGCCGCAAATATTTCTTTCAATTGTTTCATTATCTCTCTAAATAAACAATGTTAATACATAAAACAAGAGATTTAATTGAGAAATAAATCGAACTCGTGGGAGATATTTTCAGGAGAGAGATTTTTTTTCTCCAAAATGACGTAGAGAGCTGATGAATTGATTCTCTGGAATTTTAATCAGTAATCAAGTCGCCCTCCTACTATTCATTCATTTTTCAGTGAAAATCTAGATGCAAGTTAAATCGAATCGTGACGTCATTTACTTCTATTATTGTTTATTTTTCTGTATGAACTTTTTTTCAATTTTACTTAATTTATATTCTTTAAAAACTCTCTCACTATATGAATGCTGAAAAAATCTTTAAAAGCAGGTAAAGCAATAAAACAGTTTTTTGACAAATCACTTCATTAAATTTTTATAATCGTCTGTATTTGAAACATATCACGTAGGCAGAAAGAAAACACAGCGTAACTGAACTTGGTTGACAAAGTGTCAAGCCCATGCAGAACTTAAGTGAAGATTTAAATACAAAAAAACTTGACTCGAACCATCCAAAAATGATTTATAGGGTTCTTTGCTGTTAAAATGATTTAAAACTAAAATACTTCTACTCGCTCTCTCTTGTATTCAACTTCTAAAGCTTCACTCGACCATAAATCGTTAAAACATCTACCCCAGGGGAGAACAATGATTTGAAACGATGTTACATTTTAACGAAAAGTGATTTTGCAAAAATACAATGCTATAAAGCTGTGTAAATAAATACACGTCAAAATGTAAAACATATCCTAAAATAAACAAAAAATGCTGCCCTAATATATTTCGTAAATGCCTTTGAAATTAATCTCTTAAAAATACAATTTGGTGATTATTTACTTAGAAAACCAGAACATACCAGATATACAAATTAACATTTCTTATACAATTTTACAGGTGTGTGTCATGTTTGAACAGCCACATTCTTTAATACTAATGCTCTTACATAACATAGGATTTTCTGACATAATTTCAGTACTTTGAATCTGAATTCCCTTCAACTTCTAATAGACTGTTCCAAAATCAAAGCAAGGCTAGTCCATTACATAAATTCAGCAAGGTAAGGGCGAACTGTACATGTATAAATCATGCTAAAGTACATGTATCTAAACATTCAATAATAACCACCAGATTTTGCCATCATAAGATTCAACTTTGATTTAAATTCACACAAAAAATTCGTTTACATAATAGCAGTTTTACAAACTTGTAAATGTATTACCCACAATGCATCAGCATAAGAAATGCTCGTGACAATTCAAACTGCACTTTTGTGAATTTACGATTATAGAATGTTATTGACGTTTATGTAGCAAATATTAAGCCAAGCGGATGATTGCAAATACAGAATGATTAATCTTTACAAAATATATTTTATTACTGCAAATAAAATACCAATTTTGATAAAATTTATTTGCTTTTAAGATGCAATGCTAACTAGATACAATGTTCATAAAATATGTGTAACTCGACTTTATCGTTTTTTTTTAACAAATCATAAAATAAATCTATCAACAAATAAAATGAAATGGCAGTTTTATAATAAAGTGAATTAAAGTATATCCATATGATCGATCAAGTTTAGAGTTAACAGCAAAAAAAAAGCTAAAGACTTTAAAAATGTCAATCTAATAAGGGAAATGCAAGTGAAAAAAATCAGTGTCACTTCGTAATGTAACAGACGCTTATTGTATTATATAACAAAAAATATACAAAAAAGGCTCAGAGTTACAAAGTATGATTTAGAGTCTATTGAAATCAAGTTACACCATACATACAGACATACATACAGACATACATACAGACAGACAGACAGACAGGTAAGAAGACAGATAAAGAGAGACGGATGAACAAGCATTATAGAAGCATTCAACACACACATAACAAAACTTCAGCAAGTTTGGAATTAACTGTTTCAACACTCAGATATTAAACAAAATAAATAAGACGACTTTTGTATCTGGAGTAAATACATTCAGATGTTGAAAAAAAATATGAAAAAGTCTGAACATTCAAACCACTGGCAAGCTAATATCTATAGTGGCAGTGATGGCTAAATGAACAAATTTCACACCACAGTGAAACTCTTCTCATGTACACCGTCATATTTGAACAATTTATTTTATTTTTTATGTGACAATTAATATGAAATATTCATTATTCTATATTTGATATAATGTCCTTATCAAACTAGCATATAAATAGTCCATTAGCTAATTGAACAGAATATTAGCAGGGGGGAAATCTCTGCGATGTAGTCAATTGAAAAAACCCAGCTTATTTGAAATGATTCAAAGAAATTCTGAAAATTCTATGCACAATAACATATTCACATTACAACGTGTTAGAAAAGTAGACTATATTTGTAATCAAATTATTTATCAAATATTTTAGCATAAAACCTGTAGAATTTGAACATATGTCTGTATTTGAAGATTACTAATATTATTCGTCGAAAATATTAAAATCATGAATAAGAAACAATGCATTTTGTTTTTAATCAAAGATGTAAAATATTTCTTGTTATTGATATATTAAAATGTGTATCAACTAAAAGATTAGAAAATTAGTTATTTTTATCTGATTCTTTTGCATAGTTTTAATGAAAATTGTTGGTGGTAGTTTTTCATAATAGGATTTTACACGATTGCAACATTTACTGCATCCAAGACTTGAACCTAGGAATTAATGGTCAGAAGGTCTCGGGGCACTTCACACATAGTTATAAGGAAGGGTATGAGGTTGTATATCCGGTAAAACACGTTCATTGTCTCTAAAAGCAGACGATAAGTTTGCAGGTTATTAGATGCAGAAAAAATAATGAGTGGAAAACCTGCGTGTAAGAACACGAGGCTATATGTTAAATATCTACTAACAGACATCGTTGATTGATAGGCAACGGTAGGTTTACAGACAGTTTTTGTTCATTAATCAACTAGGTATACAAACTGTGCTGTTTGTTACCTCCCCTGATTATTTGTGGTCTGCCTTTTCAATTGACTCAACTTGGCAAGAATTTTGAATTATTTATACCTTCCCATACTTTATTTATAACGAGATGTTCTTTTACAGTAACGAGATAATTAGAAAAATATTGACATAATATATCTTAATTAAAAAAAAAAAAACGAATACCAAATTTTTATGAACCAAGTCAAATAAGCATATCATTTGAAGGTCTCGTCATTTAAAGGTCCTATATGGTCTTACAATGGTTGTGTCATTCAAGGTTTTACAGTATTCAGTTATTATCAACAACTTTATGGAATGCAATGTAAATAAAGCACTTGCGTTAAATATAAAATCTAATTACATAACCCAGCTGGGATCTGTCATAACCGATAAACAAGTGGGCTTTTTATAATTTATACACCATAAATTTACATTAATTGCTTTTTCACGTCAAGATTCAATATGAAGTGTCTAATTGGTTGGCAACGTCATTGAAAATACATAAAAATATTTTCCCCATAAAATCATACTACTGAAAGGAAAACAAACTGCTGAGTAATGCATTTTCGTTGATTTTCATATGAACAGAAAATCGATTAAAAAAAAACAACAGAAATACCAGGATTTTAGCATTGAGTGTTAATACAAGTTTTATGAATTTGTTTGCCTGTCAGAAAAGAAGTATCTTGCATACTAAGAAATGAGACAATATAGAAATGCTTGAATAATATATTAAAAGTTTTTGTCATTGACATCATATAATCTTTGGAGTATTTTTATCTATATTATACTTTTCCCCTCACTTAAATGCTTGTTAAAACATTTTCACAAAAGAATTTTTCCTTGGTAAAATTGGCAAACTTTAACTGTTTTCAATTAGTGTATGTTTTTCATATGATATAGGAAAGAGTGCATGGGAGACGAGCTATGCAAGTATCATATCGACCACATTAACCAAATTTTTACAACCACACACAGTTAGCCAGGTGATAAACTAGGTGATATACCTTGATATATTATAACAGTTACTTTTACCACATAACCGCAATATACCACCTGGATATACTACCTCTATGGAACGCCTGGACTGTCTTATGTTCAGATTGAATGATATACCTGGTTAAATGTCTTTCTGTTGAGTCCGAGATACAAAATGCTGGGTGGAAATCCTAATGTGCTCAGTTATTGAAGTGCTATGTTGTGTGCTGACTGTATTTTATTCAGTCAAGTCAATGTATTGTCGGGTGCATAAGTCGTTATGTTCAGTTCTTAAAACAAACAGGCATGTGGAAACACAATTATGTTGAGTTAAAAAGATATGTTGTAGGGTGTTACAGTTATTATGTTCGGTTATAATAATATGCTGTTTGGTGCTCTTCTCATCATGTTCAACCATGAAAATAAACAGTTGAGTGGTACTATCATTTTGTTTGGTTGAGGCAGTGTATTATTGGGTGATACTTTTATTATTTTCAGTTGCAATGACATGCTGTTGGGTGCTTTATTCCTTCTGTTCAGTCGTGAAATAGAACTGTTAAATGGTACAATCATTATCTTAAATGGTACTATCATTATCTTGTGTGCTGATTATATCTTCTTCAGTCAAGTCAATGTGTTGTTCGGTGCAAAGGTCGTTATGTTCAGTGGTTTTTTGGTACCAGCATTATGTTCAGTTCAGATGATATACTGTTCGGTGCAGAGGTCATTATGTTCAATAGTGAACACAAACTGTTGTGTGATACAACCATTATGTTGGGTTCATTCGGATATTTTCGGGCAACAAGATGGGAGAGGTCACGTCGAGGCTAATGACCACTAAATTGCCAAAACAATTTTCTTCCCTATAAATATTATCGGGGGGTTTAAGAACGTTATTTTCATAAATTGGACTTTTAAATACCCTATGGGTATTTATTAGTTAATTCATGACTATACTATACTGTTACAGTCATATTGGGTACAGTATATATAAAAGTTAAAATATGGGTAAGGGTAGCCTGTTAAAGTCACACGTGACCACCGTAAATAAAACTTAAAATTTATCTGTTTGGTAACCTATAAGAGTCACAAATGGACACAGCAAACGAAATTTAAAATATAAAACATCATATTCAAGTAAGGGAACCCTATTTGAGTCACACATGGCCACAGTATATGGAGCATATAAGTAAGGGTAGCCTATTAAAGTCACATATGGCCACAGCATATACGACTTAAAATGTATTTGTTGGTAACCCATTTGAGTCACACATAACCACAATAAATGGAACATAATATCTAAGTAAGGGAAACCTATTTGAGTCACACATGGCCACAGTATATGGAACATTAGATATAAGTAAAGGTAGCGCAATAAAGTCACACATACCCACATTATGAAGAACATTCTATATAAGTAAGGGAAACCTAATTGAGTCACACTAGGCCAAAATATATGGAACATTATGTTTAAGTAAGGGAAACCTTTTTGAGTCACGCATAACTAAAGTATATGGAACATTATATATAAGTAAGGGTAGCCTAATAAAATAAGACTCAAATACATTTCCCTGACTTAAACATTATGTCTAATATATTGTGGCCATATGTGACTCAATTAGGTTTCACTTACTTATAAAGAATTTTCTTTATACTTTGGCCATGTTTGACTTTATTAGGCCACACTTACTTATATATAATGTTCTATTTACTGTGGTCATGTGTGTCTCAAATGGGGGTTCCATACTTATATTTAACGTTCTTTATACTGTGGCCATGTGTGACTCAAATGGGTAATTGTTTTGGCAATTTAGTGGTCATTAGCCTCGACGTGACCTATGGAAATTAGTTGCTCCCGCCCGCCATCTTGTTTGACGCGAAGAAATCCGAATGAACCCAACATAATTGTATGACCACTCAGCGCATTGTCAAATGACTTGTGCACCGAACAGTATATCATCTGAACTGAACATAATGACGGTATCACACCACAGTTTGTGTTCACTACTGAACATAATGACTTCAGCACCGAACAGAATATCATCTGAACTGAACATAATGACGGTATCACACCACAGTTTGTGTTCACTACTGAACATAATGACTTCAGCACCGAACAGAATATCATCTGAACTGAACATAATGACGGTATCACACCACAGTTTGTGTTCACTACTGAACATAATGACCTCTGCACCAAACAGGATATCATCTGAACAGAACATAATGACGGTATCACACCACAGTTTGTGTTCACTACTGACCATAATGACTTCTGCACCGAACAGAATATCATCTGAACTGAACATAATGACGGTATCACACCACAGTTTGTGTTCACTACTGACCATAATGACTTCTGCACCGAACAGAATATCATCTGAACTGAACATAATGACGGTATCACACCACAGTTTGTGTTCACTACTGAACATAATGACTTCTGCACCAAACAGGATATCATCTGAACTGAACATAATGACGGTATCACACAACAGTTTGTGTTCACTACTGAACATAATGACTTCTGCACCGAACAGTATATCACCTGAACTGAACATAATGACCTCTGCATCGAACAGTACATCATATGAACTGAACATAATGACTTCTGCACCGAACAGTATATCATCTGAACTGAACATAATAACGGTATCACACAACATTTTGTGTTCACTACTTAACAGAATGACCTCTGCACCGAACAGTACATCATCTGAACTGAACATAATGATAGTACTATTCAACAGTTCTATTTCACGACTGAACAGTCTGAATAAAGCACCCAACAGCATGTCATTTCAACTGAAAATGATAAAAGGATCACCCAATAATACACTGCCTCAGCCAAACGAAATGATAGTACCACTTAACAGTTTATTTTCATGGTTGAACATGATGAGAAGAGCTATTTCAACCGAACATAACAACTGTCATACCCTACAACATATCTTTTTAACTCAACATAATTGTGTTACCACATGCCTGTTTGTTTTAAGAACTGAACATAACGACTTATGCACCCGACAATACATTGACTTGACTGAATAAAATACAGTCAGCACACAACATTACACTTCAATAACTGAGCGCATTTGGATTTCCACCCAGTATATTGGGATTTTGACCCAGCATATTGTATCTCGAACTCAACAGAATCACATTTAACCATGTATATCAGTCATTCTACACATAAGACAGTCCAGGCGTTCCATATACCTCTATATATACCACCTTATAAAGCACCGCAGAATGGCGCAGATTAGCCAGGTAGACAGTTACAACGTGATTTAATGAGACCATTTATAACAACAATGCACTTGCATTATTTAATGTTGCGTTAATAAAAATTTGAATTATGTCATGCAAAAAATAGGACAAAAATCAAGTTTAACATAAATTTTGTATATTATTCATTTGCGATGGAAACTCAAATATTTACATACAAGAGTGTTGATAAGGCTACGTGTCTTCCACAAAAATTGGAATCTTACCCATTGCTTTTATTGCTACTGACGCTTGTTTTTGTTCTCGATTGTCATTTAATTTTTTCTTGCTTGTCATTTAATTTCTTGCTTGTCATTTAACAACTTGTTTGCATTTATCTTATTAAGCTAAACAATTTCTTAAGAGAAACAAAAAGCTTTAACTTAAAAAAAGATAATTCAAAACAAACAACCTAAAGATAGGATTTTTTTTCTGTATGCCAATAAAGATAACAGCATCGTTGTGACAATCGGTAATTTCCGACCAATTAAATAAACTTCAATAAAACATATGATATCATTCTCTCTATGTCTTATGATTTATAATTTAGGTGAGGTTTCAATTGTCGAAGATAAACGAGAAATGTCCTTAGTATGACGGAAACAGCCGATTGTCTTACAAGAGCCATTTACCTTTATTGTAACCCTCTTACCGTTATTTACTTATTAATTCCACAGATATTGCAACTCAAATTTTATCTTATTTTAATCAAACACATAAATCCAATAACTTTCTATAAAATATTAAATCCAAATTCCATGTAAAATCCAATTTATCTCTGACAACGATGAATCCATATTTGTGAACACAGTTTAAATCCAAATGTTGTAAACGTTAAATCCATATACTTGTACAAATATTCATTCAATTCAGAAAAACAGATACTATTTTTTCAATGTAAAAAAGTAAATCTTTTGCCATAACTTAGAAAGCACACTTTTGAACTAAAGAAAAAAAGAAAGTACATACTATCCAAGCACTAACTTTTTCAAACATTCAGAAATACGTTATACGAATTATAACATATTTTCCTATAGCTAATTGTAACATATTCCAAACACAGTTTAACATATATTCAAAGTAAACTTTCAATGGGCCCACTTGTTCATCTAATTAGCAAATAAATATACATGCACGCAGACACTCCAGTCTGATACGTATTTCTTACATTCCACAAATAAAAAGTTCTATGCCTTGGATTAACTCGCACATGGTGTAAATAATAATCCACATGAAAAATAAATTACACATTCACAAACAAACACAAGTGATTAATCCTTGTTCAGCTCTGCACATGTAAATAACTTTAAATCCAGAAATAGGTAATTATCCGTGAAAATACTCTAGCACTGTTTCTTTTCCTGTCACATATTTTCGTGTTAAGTCACCTACATAATTCGCATAACACAGTGTTCTGTCATGCAGTATTTCATATATTTCCGGTTTACTCTTTCAAAGCGGAACCAAAAACACTATACTGTATCTTTCCGACTATCAGATTCCGACTTTGATGTCACCTTTTTCGTAGAACGTACTGTGACATCATCATCCGTAAATTCAAATTTATCCACTTTGGATTCATTTAATGCCTCTTTGGATTTATCCGTTTGTCGATTACCTTTCGTGCTCAGATCAATTCCGTTTAATTGTTCTTGTGTTTCTTTCTTCGCTCTCATTTCAGTTATAGCAGATATAATTCTGTCTATAGATTTCTCCTTACCCTTTGGAGTTGCTGTATACGTAGGTTTGGTCAAAAGTTTGGCAGTGTTTTGAGAGAGTGAATTAGAGCTTTCCGAAAACGAAAGCGATCTCGATGAGTCTGGGTAATGCCCTGGTTTAGAAAGTGGTGGTGGCGGGGGTAGACTAGATACAAGATGACTGTGCATCAACCCTAGATAAGGGCCTGGGAAGGGACCCAGGAACCCACATTGTGAAGCAGACGCAATGGCCTCAAATCGACGCGCTTCTTCAAACTTGCTCGCCATTGTTGCAGTTGGACTTTTATCATTCATGGAAAACGATCTGTAGATGGGTGTGCCTAGTCTGTCACCGGTGAAACGCCCTTGGGAATACAAATGGTGCGTCCCTGAGAAATGGCTGCTCAGGTTAGGGACGTTTAGATGTGCTGTAGGCCTATGCGGGGACTGCAGTTTGGCTGCGTTACTTATTGAAGCAAAGAAAGGACTTTGGTGTCGGTATTCGGGCAATGACGCTGCTGGTTTCTCTTTGGAAATGTCCTTATTAACGTCTTTATTTGTATCTTTATTATTAGTTTCAATATCCCGATCCGTTTCTTGCACACTACTCATTTGATTCGCCATGTCAGTGGACAGTTTCATAATTCTATTCTGATTAGAATCAATTTTATGACTAGTTTGAGATTCAGTCAGATTTTCCAGTTTGTTCAAAGCTTTTGGTTTTTCTTTTTTCTGCACGGTCTTAACCGCATCAACAGGTTTTTCAAACTTTTGTTCACATTTTTCATTCCCTTTAGTTTCACTTTGTTTTATCGATTGAGTTGTTGGTGTGTATTTTTGTTTTTTAGGTTCATTATCCGTTGTTTTGGTTTTGTTTTTACCATTTATATCCGCTGTAAATACAGTCTTTGGTGGAGGAGACACCGGACTGCTCTGTTTAAGTGTACTTAAGCTACTTACAGTTGCAATCGTGTATTGTCCGTTTGAGAAATAAAGAAACTGTTTTGGAATTCTCAAATCTGAAGCATTTTTGTCAGTGGTACTGTCTTGCTTAGATTTTTGACTTTTTCTATCGGCGTCTTGCTTAGACCCACCGTCAATTTTATTAATCCATGAATATGCAGTCGGGGATTTAGAAGGTTCGCTATTCGCTGACTTAGAGCACTTCATTTTGTCAATACCACTACAATTACTGTCTTTCTCTTTCTCCTTTTCACTGTTTTTACGATGCTTTGGTGAATGGCTGCGGGATTTGTGTTTTTTCTCCTTTGGAAGTGGTAGACATTCAAGAGACCGATTTTTTGGAGGACGGCCTCTAGGACGACCTGTTTTTGAAACAGATTTGGTCTTTTGTGAAGTTGAAAATGACTGTGATAAAGACATAGAAGGAGAGATTCGACACTTTGGTACCGATAAATGTTTAGAAACCGGAGGATCTTCTTCGTCAAACCGGTATGTTATCTCCGTCCTCACGAACGATTGGTATTGGGACTGAAATCCTGTAGTTTCCGCTCTAGAAGGCGATTTAGGTGTCACACTGTTTGGCAAGGTTTTGACAGGAGATTTTGGAGATGTGAATTTCATTTTGGTTGGCGACAGAGGTTGTGCAAGGTATGCTGCTTTCGGTGTAGACAAATGACCAGAATAACTATAGCTCCTTTTGTATGCTTTGGCATCACTTTTCTTAAAAGTTTTATTTGACTCAGTATTTGTTTCATTGTCAATGGATTTGCGCTTATTTGATGACGTTGACAAGTTGCTTACATGCGTAGAACAATCCACGGATAGCGCTTTTCTTTTTGTGCTATCAGCTGGAAAACCATCAAAGTCAGTGGAGCAATCAACAGTTAACTTGTGTTCCGACTCCGACTTTGGAAAATCGTAAACATCTGTTGAACAATCCACTAGTTTTTTACCATCTGAACCTGCATCATTCTTTTCAGTTTCAGTTGAGACAGATACGCTATCTACTGACATTTGACGTGAAATAACAAAGTTGTCAGTTTCACAAGAAACGTCAGCGGTTGATTTACAAGATGGCGATACAGTGGATCTAGTAACATCAACTTCCGAGGAATGTGGAACATCAAGTTTTTCAGTTGGGGATGAACCTGGAGGTTCAGTTTGACAGCCTTGCGTATTTTGGGTGGATGACACAACAGGTTCAGAAATATCCTCATCAGTTAGTACTGACTTAGACTGTTTAAATATTCCAATATTGCACTTTTCAGCTTCATCGGCAGTCGACACAATGCATGTGCCAGTTGAAGCTTCCACCATTTCTGGTTTAACTTTTGCTTGATGTTTCTTTATTTCATCTGCAGTTACTTGTTTCTCACACTTATCTGGCTTACTCATTTCTGTTTCTTGTGAACTATTTTCTTTTCCACTGAATTCTGGCTTTTCACATTTTCTATCAACACTAACTTTTTCTTTGTCCTTCAAATCAGTCACAGAATCTGCTTTAGATTCAACTGCATTAGAATCAAGCTTACTATCTGCGTTAACACATTCTGAAATATCTTTTGTTTTATCTAACTTCATCTTATCAGGAATGTCTTTTAATTCCAACTTTTTACCACTGACTGTTCTTTCTTCTTTAGAGTCATATTTCACATTTTCAGTTTTCTCTTTTTCAGGTTTCTCTTCATCAGGAGAAATGACAGGTTTTTCTGTAATTTTTATGTCTCCGATTTTCACTGTTTTATTTTCAATATCAATACCGTCACCTTCGAGGACCGAATCGTGTTTACTTTCATCCGATTCTTGACTGAAAGACTTATCAATTTCACTTATATTTTTCTCGTCATCAGTTAAATATCCGCTCGTTTCAGTTTTCAAATCAGAAGCATTGGTAGCGTCCGTTTCCATAGGAACGGTGTCTTCAACGTCAGCTTTGAAACGTTTTGCCTGGTTTGTGTACACAGCGTAGTACAATCTAAGCGGTCCTTTCTGAAATGGATATGTAAAAATGTTCTAGATTGCAGAATGCCAGAATATTCTATGAATAATGCGTTACTTAGGAACTAGCTGTCAACAAATCAGATGTCATTAAAATAAAGCTATTTTTCTCTATGCTGAATAACGATATCAATTCTGTTAACAACAACAAAAACTACGTTTAAGATACATCGCAACTGTCAATCATATTTATGTGGTTTTGAAAAAAAAAGTTAATTAATACTTTATTGATGTTTCCCTAAAAAAGACACACCATATACATCGCGTTACCACTTTATTGTAAAAATAACTATATTTCCTGCTCAAAGTTAAACAGCTATTTATTCTATTCAAAACGTCTCTTATATACAGACACCGGGATTCTTTTCCGCACGGGGGTAAATCTTTTTCAGACTTATCGCTTTTAACACGTGTAAACATACATTTATCAAGTGAATTCCATGAAGAAATAATAATTTTTGAAGCTTTTATACTAAGTGTCCTAAAGCGAATATATGGGGAATGATGTTGAAACTATTTCGTTTCAGCAAACTCCATGAAAATGAAACTTTCGAACAACAACGTATTTCTGTTATTTTGTATAACTTGAAGGTTTTGGTGCATTTTACAGCAATCGACTTATGGTGCGTATAATAGAACATTTACTGCCGCGCATTTACAAAAGTATGTACGGTATTTGAGAAATACGTCGGTAGTCAATCTATACGACACCTTTAGCTGAAAGATATAGCCACCGATTAAAGATGAAAAACTCTCAAATTTCATTTATCATTTATGTATACAAATTATCTAACAGTTTATACATAAATGTAGAGTAAATCCCCCATTAATGACAGGCGGGACAGACCATAGCAGTATAACTACACAAGTATATAGTGAAATTATGACGGCTGGTGAAATGTACGAGTAATTTAGCTTGTTAATTTAGAGAATAAGAAATTCCTGAGAGACTGGTCGATGTATCCATACGGCAAACCGTCTACTAACATTCAATAAAATCTACATCGTGAAATTATATATACAGACAAAACCTATGAAACATAAAGCCAGTGCACGTTATTTGCATTTTAATTTGTTCACATTCACTGAAAAAAAATCAAAATAATGGTCACTAAGTGTATTCTCATACTTAAAAGATCTCGCGCACGAGTTTTTACCAGGATGTGTCAGATGATATGTTGCCAAGCAACGGCATGTTTTAGCACGCGCTATCAATCTGCCTACTTAATTCATAACATTGGCCCTTTAATGACCCAGATAAAATACAATTACCATACATATCTAATGATCTTTAAAAATATAACGGATTGCTACAAAAAATTGAATATTGCATAGCATGAAAGTGTCTTGAAATAGTGTCAAAGTTTGGTAGGATAATCAAAAAGAAGTCATTATCCAAAGCAAATTTTACTCAATATTTTTGTGAATAATCATCTGTATGGCATATTCCATCTACCAAGACAATTGTCTTGCGGAAAACTCAAAAAGCTGTCATGACAATACAACTTTTCAGAAATAATTTCAGACCATTAGTCTTACAACATCAAGAAATAATATGATTACATCTATTCCGCAGATGACAAAATTCACATACGCAGACGGACAAATTTCACGTTACAACAAGAAATTTCTTCTTAAGGCATATAACAGAAAATTGAAAATAATAGAAAATAGCCTTTTTCTTTCTGTTATATCACTAGAGCACATACAATACTGGAAATATCTGATGTTATGTTAGAAAATATCGATCAGTACTAACCCTGCGCCAAGAGTATATATACGCAATATCTACCAGTGTATAATGGTCGTGTAAAGTCTCGTCTGTGTGGTAAAAATCAATCTGAAAAAAAAAATGCAATTCAAATTTCCATATCATATATATCATAAATACACATGTATAATTAATGAGGCTGAATATCAACATGTATGTGTTGTCGAGAATGATTTTTGGCACGGAATTTTCGGTGTTGACGGTCCGGACTGATAACGTCAAAAGCCATCAATTTAACTGAACATGTTTAAACATTCATCCTAAATCTTGCAGGAGGTTTTCAACAATTTGTTCATACATTACAGGTACGAAATTCACAATATTTTCAAATCTGAAAAATAAATGATTCTTTAAGGTAGGTTTTGATTTATTGCTAACTATAATAATTAATGTTTACGGTTATACTATACATTATTTTCATTTTTCTGTTTTTCAGGGGACAGAACATGGAGGTACTAATCTTCGTTTTAATTGCGATGTTGTAAAGGAGAGCGTCTATTTGAGTAAACTTCATAAAATTCATTTTTCATTAACAACAATTGCATAGAAACGGAGTGGAAAATAACCGCTTCAGTGGTATATATAAAGTTACTGTTAACACGTCATTCATTATTCACTCACATCTGTTTATGCCAAAAACACCGATGAATGAATTTTATAAACATTATAATAACATTCCGTGATGTGACATTTATAATTTACGTATCTGCACGCACTTGTAAGTCTCCAAATTTCAATAACATTCTGGCGGGCCGAGGCGAAACGTACACAGTAATGTCCGACAGACGCATTAATACTTAAACATTATTAATGTACTGATTTCAGGTCAATGTAAATTAACAAACAAGGACATAATAAAATGTTTTGTTAAAAGGTACAACATTAAAACATAAGTGGCTGTGAAGAAACTCGTGTTCTCCCTCTATAGATATTTCTGTTTACAACATTCCATCATAAAAATATGTAAGAAATGTGTGTATTTCATATTATTATGTTGTTTATTATTCGCGTTGGTGTAACAAAAATAAACGCTTCGAAATTTAAGATTTTTTAAATGAAAATTGCAACAATAAATGGTGCGCGTTTGTTGATAAAACCTAATAGGAATTTGCGGGGGGTGTTAAATCTTCTCATATTATTTATTAACCTCTATATCTATGCGCTTTCCATTTATATGTTATGCATGTCACAGGGTTACCAAGTGTTAATGTTCATGACTCCGTTGTTATCAGAATTTGATCGTTTATTTGCTCACAGTAACCTCAAGCAAGCTGCTTTTCCGATTAATTTGCCCTTTTTGTCTTTCTTTTCTTATGTTCTTTTGTAAGTTAGATACTTCTGCCAAATACTATGTTAATCCAAATTCCGTAAACTTTAATAATGAAGATTTACCTGAAATCGGTCACACAAGTTGAACTTCATTTTGATAAATTTCTTTAGATGTCCAACGGTAAAATTCCCTGGACATGACAAGTAACGGCGATCCGCGGCCTGTTTAAAACAAAATAGAAAAATGTGATTATTTTATGAAACATTTTAATGACATTCATTATGTACGAAATATGTTAAAACTTATATAATAATAATATTCCACCGAGACTGACAGGCATTTCAACTACCTATAGAGTTCGGCGCAAAATTTTCTATAGAAAGTTAAGAACATTTACAATTATGAATTAAAATGCTATATCAGTAAAAGTGCTGAAGAAATCTGAAACTGCAAAAGCTTCTACAAATACATGTTTGTACAGCATGTAATAAAAAAACAATACTAAAAAACATGCATTATTAAACATTGCAAAGCTTGACTGAAAATGAAATTTTTTTGCAACCAGTAGTGAGTCCGGCCAGTCTAGTCTGCTTAAACTTTATACTGTTTGTTCACAAACTACCAGTATATAAATACAAAATGTAAATATTTTCATATACATGAATCGGCTGTTTAACTATGTTATATGTATATACTTAAGCGGAAATTGTCATGTTGACCTTTCTTGAAACAATTCATTTTTCAAATTTCAAGCGTTTGTTTTGTTTACCTCTAATCTTGGTTGCCTAGACGATCGACCACTTGTCGAGTATGGTGCATTACCGCTAGAAATGAAATAAAAATATTTATTAACTATGACGATATGAAAAATGTCATAGAACCGGATTTGAAATAAATAAAACACTTATAAAAATATTATACAAAACATTTTACCCCTTACTCATAACTAAATATTTGATGTAATTAAATGAATCTTGTATCATAAAAACGGATACAAGTATGGAGAAATATCAATGGAAATTAAAGTGTATAAGGAAAACAACTCATTATTTCAAGTTTTTCAAGACAAATACACCAAGATAAGCAGACGACAACTTAAGAGACACGAACGCTGACCAGGCTAAATTCAGTTATATATTTTTACTACAAATAATTCGAATAATCTAAAGTTAAGACGGTAAATACAAAAAAAAACGTGTAAGACATACATTTTTGTAATTATAAAGGTTAGAGATTTATTACTTACTCGGAACTTAATTCGATCACAAGACTTATATGTTCATCAGCTGAGTATATAATCCGTTCTCGTTCTTCCGGTATACCATTCTCGCCGACACGGCCTGAACAGAAAATAACCACTATATACTATTCATACTAGTTCGATTTTATTAACAAACACTTTTATCCGAAACTATCTAAGCATCTATACATAATGCATGTAAATGAGAAAATAATATCTATAGGAAAAACATTTGTATTATATATAACATCTTTCAATGTGAAATTATATTCAAATTTTTATTCTCAATATAACTTTTATAAGAAAGATGCCACGTAACAAATAAAAAACAATAATTACTAGCAAACTCACCACTTTCTATCTCTTCTTTGTAGAATTCACGCCGCTTTTTCATTTCATCTGTAATAATTAAGAAAAAAGAACTAACATTTAGAATACTAAAATCAGGCTACAAATAATGCTACGAATATCACGTGTTTCTTCTTTATAATTTGCAAAAGGGAAATGTGAGATAAAAGCAGACATAAAAACATGATAAGACTGTCATGCTAAGGCATATTTATACTGCAATTAACATGATATGCAGCGCGTGCATACAATTTGGACGGCGACTCGTTGAGGCTTAATTCGGATAATACACAATTCGGTCACGTCACGCTAAACTTTCCCATATATGGTCGAAGTTCATTACGAAAACTCCTTAATGGAATGTCGGAAATCCCCGTGGGTGCTGAAATCTCATTCTTTACCATGAGAACCCGTTGATCCCTGCTGCTGACCCTTATTAGCGCCATAGTTCTATAATCATGTTTCCATTACGCATGGGCAATTGTTACCATAGTTACCCATTCTCTGCACGTGATTGGACAAAATGAAATTAGCGCGACGTCAAATGAATCCCCGGAAATGTCACGACAGACAAATGAAAGTGACATGGAAATCGAATAAGCTACAAACACGGGATACGGGCGAATCCATTACTGAGATAATTCCTGGAATTCGATACGTCTGCTACCGTTTTTTTTTCTAGATAAAAATGCTTCAGTAAGCACTGCATGAATTCGGTACTCATATTTTATCATTGTGTTGTCTGCAAGTTACCTAAAGAATTGTTGATGATTTTTTATACTGTTGGTCATATGCGTAAGATCATGTTTTTCTTTCCTCAATGAAAGAAAACTATCGAACGGTACAACGCCATTAATATTACTAGGCAGTTTTACTGACCATGTTTAAAAAAATATAAAGAAATAATAACAACGAAAATTTAAACTATATAATCATTATAGTCCATTGATTTATTCTGATTATATGTGATAGAAATAGTAACTATACCTTGAAATAATCCCGGGACTAACTTGTACACCAGATCTTGTAGGGTGTGGTCAGGTCTGAAAAAAAAACAACAGGATAGCATAAAAATACAATATAAGTATAAAGTACATTGCCCATAACTCCAATGTCAAAGACATGCTAAGAATTGGTGTAAATGTTTTTGCTATTCGACGTAAAAGACAGGGTCCGAAACATTACCGCATTTTGTTTGTATATTATTGCGTTCTAAATCTGACATCATTATGTAATATTATTCCTTTAAAGTGTATAACAAACTTTAATGGTTTTCGTCATTTTATCGAAAGAATCGTTACATTTTGCTCTCCGATGCATTAAACGGAGAAAAAAAAGCACCAGTATAATATTCAAATGCATCTATGCACTGAAAAGTGATCGTTAAATTCACTGTTCTTGTTTTTTTCTGCAATATCTGCAGACGATAATAAAATGTAGAATTCTTTAGAAACTCCTGAGATTAAAGGTATAAATAAATGAGTAAACAGTGTTCTTTAAATGCAATTCTCACGTGCTAACAATAGACATACCAGCACGAGACTAATACTTCCCGTGAACAGGCTTTATGCACGAGCTTTATGCAATTTATAAACTATTTCTGAAAGGAACGCGCGACTTGGCGCACCACAGATCAAAGATCTTTGCGAACAAAACGCTTAGATAAAAGCTTTCGTATCTTCAAGCAACGTAAAACATATGACGGAAATATAAGGTATGGCGAAGGGTTTTAAGAAAAGATAATTGTCGTCTGCTCAATAAGTTATTAGATTCTACATCAGGTTATGAATTAAACGAAATTGCAATTTAAACACGAACGTGCCGTAAAATAATTTTAAACTAGATTGCAGTATCATATTTTCATGTCATTTAGTTAAGTGCTAACGCACGAACATTTCCAGCAAATAAAATTGTAAATAGGATGGTATAGAAAATACAAAATGTACTATCTTAAGGGTAATTTGATAAATCTTTCAGCGTTTCTAGTTTACTAAGCCTTCCCCTATAAATGAACGTCGTTATGTGAAAATAAAAAATAATTATTCGCTCGCCTCAGTTATTTAATAGTCGGAAATATGATTGGCTGCGAAACAAATAGCTGCACCACGTTGCCTATATTCTCTGTTGCCATGGTAACACAATGGTAAATATCTATTTTATAGTGGCTTCAGAATGTTACATTAAGTTGTTGTTGCGCGTAAAAAGAACTTTATCATCATGGTCTTAACAGGTTTTACACCGTTTGGACTATTAAAACGTGATTTATATAGTGTGCGAGTAAATCTCAGCTTTCACTCTATGTACGTAAACATGGAAACATGCCAAGCAACGGAATAAATAGGACGTTTGCGTCTTGTTTTTATTTATTTATCTTTTTTTTTCGTAAGTTTTCCTCACAAACGTTTTAAGTACAAAAAAGATCTCAAAGCAAATTAACAAGAAAAGCGATTTATATTATCTCACGTAATAAAATTGATACACCTTGATTTTATCTTACAGAAAATAATTCGTTCAAATAATGTTAGACCTCTTTATGTAAAAACTGAAGGAAGTAAAATGCCAAGTTATAAATCAGGCGTACATTTTATTTTAATAAGAAGACTCGATCAACCTGCACGCATAAATCAAGCTATACTCGGGGTTATCAATAAATGTCCGACTGCTTTATTGCTCTGGAAGGAAAACAATACTAATTTAAAAACATTTATCTATCGCGTTGGCACGGTACAGAATTTTCCATTAATATTTTTTTTCTCATAACTTAAATGCATATTGTATTCTGGAGGCAAGATATGACTTCTGATATTTCCATTACCCGCTTATTTACGCAGTAATTACTTGGTCGTCTGCCTCTTTCAATCATCACGTGATGCGCACGTGACTTCTGACATCCGGCACGCGCGCGTCGTGAGCTCTTGAAAACAGATTATTGGTTTTCATGTACGCTCCAAAAGATCCTAAAATACCGTAACAAGTGGAACAAATACGCGTTCTCAATTATCTTAAGACAACATGAAAACCACACGATATCCAAGAAAAAACAACCTAGCAGGAATGTCAGAAGTTCTGCGTTAACTTTATATTTCTCATTAAAATGTACATGATCATATTCTTGCCAGATTTCACTACGGTAACCGTAAACATGCATATTTATTAAACATCCACCTTACAAAATGAATACAGCAACAAAGATGTCCATTTATTCATATACATGTATATAACACGTGCATGGATAATATTTCCACTGCGCTTCAATTAAAACCGTGTGTGTGCATTATCCTCGTAATTCAAAATAAGCAGACGAAATTCACACCAAGTCTTGAAAAATCATTAAAACTTCTTTTTTTTCAACAAGTGGAAAGTAAAAAACAAAACGTTTATCTTACGTCAATTGCCATTCTTTTTTGCAACCCGGAAGAATATCAATTTGAGATACAGGAGGCTACTAAGTACAGTCAGAAATTTTGAATATACATTTGTAACGCATAATTATATGTAGAAAAAAGAACGCATGATATAACTTCGAAAGCGAATCTATCTGTATCAAAGTTTCTAAAAACGAGGTATTAAAGCCAGATATGTTGTAAGTTAAAATTTTGTTGTCGAGACAGGCAAACAATATACAGTATTCCTGAAGTGACACAAGTGGTCCACTAAAGTTTATTTGTCTCAAACGTACGCCGTCTCAATATTTATTGAGTGAAGGTCCTTAAACATTAACAATGTCTTTAAGCTATATCCATTACTAAAAATTATTGTGTCTAGATTTTTACCCTGAAAATTTCGTGCACATGATTATAGCGGAGTTGTACTGGTATAATTGTTTTCATACTATTCACAGAATTTCTTTCTTCGTAAAGCCTAACTCATTAGGGAGTGAGAACGATAATATAGACATCATGGAAATGTGTACATGTTAAACACGGGAGGCAAAACAGACCCATGTGTTTCTTGTTGTTTAACACTGCAGATAGTTATAAACGATGTACAAACTATTTCAATATTTCTTTGTAGTCAACAAAGACCGCGTGCGCAAACTAGGCATTCACGGCACGTGTAACTTGTAAGCGTCTCTTTTCTGTAATATAAGTACAACAACCGCTAATTAACTTAAAATGAGATTAAATACAAACGCAATGTTTCTTTTGCTCCCTGTATACGCCATTAAATTATTTTTCTATGAGAATATATGTAAGGGAAATTCTAAGAAATACCTTTAGATTGTACACCGCGAACATTTGCTTCGAAATTATTAGCCACAATATCATAATGTGGAGTTATATCTGTAGTTGTGTTGTTAGGGCTCATACTTGGTGTAAAACAGTATAAAAATAAATCATATGTTGTTTTTATGTATATACTAAATGTAATTCAAAGATTCACTTACATAAAAGGAGACCCGTGGTCGAGTAAATTGACGAAGACAAACTGGGGAGCCATGAAAACATGAATAAATGCTAACCTTAAGCCCCCTTGCAAGCATTAGACCAGCGCAGACCGAGATCATCCGGCACAACCGTGTCGTCTAGTCATGGTCTGTACCACTCGCTTTTAAGCCGATAAATATTTTGAAAATTTTTCCTAAAAATGTTGAATGGTTTTGTCCGGATTCAAGATGGTGAATGGTCAAGTCTATTTAGAATATTTAACATGATAACGGTTAAAGAAATGCAAAGACTGAGAGCAATTAACCTTGTCTTGTAACCATTCAATTACGATTTATTCTCTGTTTCTTTTTTCTAAGATTACTAAGTTTTCAAATTGTATATAGTTACAAGTGAAAACTGTTAATCATTTACGAAATAGTGGTTCAAAAGCTGCAATTATCGTGAATATTGTTGTCTCCGATGATGAGACAGAATAATAATTTATTATAAAACTGATTAATTTTGCTAATACTATAAAGAATTTAATCTGCTGTCTATTTCGAGTCAAGGAATCCTGAAAACGATACTCCACGTCAAAATCTCATCGATACTGTCGGGCATCTCCGTAAGAAATGACAGTTGTGAAATTTTGTCGGCACCGGAAAGGAATTTTAACAAATTATGCGGGCAAGTCATTACGATAACATATAAATCTTATCTTTCGATCAAAGCTAGTTCCAAATATAATTCCATCAAACAAAGACAGAACTAAATTACGCGCACCGCTAGCACGACGTTGACGCCACTTAAACAGCCTTACATCCTCGGACCACAACGGCAATGTATACATGAACAAACAGATAATAGTTAAAATATTAATGATGAAATTTTGTCAAACTAAATAAAATATATATTAACGAAATAGAAATCTACAATTGTTACGTTATTCCCTGTATAAAACAAGTATAACGATAATTTACCTAAGTCGTAGATGCGGCTTTGTTTTATGAACAAGGTTGTCACACACCGGACAGTGCCTGCTCGCCTCCAAATATCCAACTATACATGTTTTACAAACTGAAAATAGAAAAAAGTAAACATAAAAGATACTAAACTGTGATATACCGTATACGTGTACATCTTACGTATAAAAATTTCTGGTAATTTTAATAATTATTGCGAAGTAAAAATGTCTGAAAGGGCCTCGACGAACCACCATAATAAATTATCGTAAGATGACGAAAGGCCCCAACAATTTCGGCATATTGGGGGTAGTTCCAAATGGGAAAACAGCTAGACTCTTTTTAACTACATTTGAAAGGAATGATGTATATATAACCATTAGTGAATAATTCATAATTCTAACGTATCATTTTAACATATCTTTTCTGCTTTCTATTACGAACTAAAATAATTATTCATGTGTATATATTATTTAAATGCTACATATTTTCTTTGCTGACGTAAGAACGCTGCAAGTGTCGTATTCCATTCATTGATTTTATTTATTTATTTATAGATATTTTTGCAAATATTGTCATGCTGAAAATAGATAAAATATGAGAAAATGAAACAAATGCAAATGTTACTGAACAGCATTTATCAGAAACTCTGTATCTATTATGCTTAAATTTCATTTTCAAGTTACATGAATATAGTTTGAAAAAATTTAATTTACAATTTATTTACTCTGGAAAGCAACAAATGTAAACCAAATATAGATGCAGGTATGTGTTTTTTATAAGCGTGTTTCAACATATCATGCCCGACCCAACAGATTCAAATATAATTTATAGTATCTACACCGTAGTAAAATAAAAAATAAAAGTACTTATTAGACAATAACAATGTTTTTCAAAACAACATCTGATCACAAAGGCGTCAACAAAATATATTTTTAGAAAAGAAACATCAATGAAATATTTTGCTTAAAAAATAACAGCACCAAAGCACGCACATATATAAATTAATGCATCATAAAATATACATCTTTAAAGGGATATGCGTAATAATTATTTGAACATATTCCGTCTGTTGCAACTAAACGGTAACTAATTAAAATGCATTACATGAACTTTATATATTCCAAGCCCCCGAGCGTACTACTAATTAGATGCATGTGCAATTGACGCAACTGCACGTGCGTATAACATGCTTCCCGTGTATTCATGCATCATTTCCAATATTTTAACAATTTATCATTTTTTTATTTCATGAAACAGGTATTATCCCCACATATGCGCCTTCTTTATCTGTACACGATGATAAAAATCTTAAAACAAATGCAATAAAAACAAATTTAGAATTGAAAATATGCAAAATGTACAAATGCATTACTTAGGAGAAAAAAAAATCACTAAAATTAAACAAAACTTCTATATCAAACTTTCTGGTTACCTTTTTTTATTAATGATTTTCGACTTCACATATCTTTTCAAATTTTACTCTGAACTTACTCAATATTTTTTTTCTTTTAAGAATAGGAAATGTAAAAAACAAATCTTATACATTGATCAAAAGGTTCTAAAATATAACCAAACTAGCATCGAAGGTAAGGAAAAATTCGTTGCTTTTTCTTGTAAGAAATGAATTTCAAACATTAAAAAATATATATATGAATGATTAAAACTTTGCTAGACGATATAGTTTAATTAAGAATTTGTGAAACTTCTTTTTATATATAATATTCTTCACTATGTAATTGTTAAATTATCCCAAATCTTTATATTATACCGATTTGCTGGATAGATAAATTTATACTTTTTGCATTTTACGTAGATCTGTTTTATTTCATAGAAATTTACAGACGAGAATCTGTTAAAATCAAATCAAGACATTTAAATTATTTGTAACATTTTGATAAGTTTTATTTTTTATTGAGATATTAAAAGCTTAATGATTTCTTCAGCTCAAATCTAAAGACGATTCTATCAAATAATTCAATAAAAATATCAACATACTCTTTAGCTCTTATTATTTATAAACTTGAAATGTATGTGAATCCGGAAAACAAACTTTATATGAAAGCATGGATCGAATAAGTTTGTGAACAATTTACTAGAATCTTCTGACCAAACAAATACTTACAATAAACTTGGTGAGTTTTTTTTAAAAGATATAATAATTAGGCTTAACTTTGAGTAAAATATTACTATTGCAGAAATTAATTGAAATCTAGTTCCTTATTTCGGGTCTACTAAAGCTGGTATTTTCTTACTAAAAACTGCCATTTTTTTAATGACATTATAATTATATTCATAGTGTGCCTGTCCACTTATATTGTGCAGGATTTAAAACATATCTTCTTTATCATATGTGAAGTCAAAACATGTTTATTTTATATTTTTTATATTTACAAAGAGACTATGTAGCAATTATCACTATTTTCAAATATCAAATTTGAGCATAGTATATCTTTGAATGTGAGGGGAATAGCCAAAAATTTCTTTGGATATTTGTATGACACACGAACTTTTATTGCCTTTTTTACAGATATATAACTATACAACAATATATGAAAGATACGTGTACAGTATTGTATAGAATTAAGATAAATATTTCATCTATAAAAATCGGAAAAAAACACCAAAAAGCTATTCAAGAAATTAATTATAATGAACTTAAAAGATATGAAAAATAGATATAAAAAGCGTTTATACCCTTTACAGTTTATCTTAACGAAGACGATTCTTTTTTTAATGTTGTCAATTTTTGATTTTTTTTATCCATGGTGCTAATGGAGTTTAAATACGAAAAGATCCAACTTAAGTGTTACTGTTAAAACGAGTTATTGTTAAATTCAGTAGATTAAAAGAATCTAAAAAAAGTTTCTTTATTTTTTGCAAAAGAAAATTTCAGAACAATATTATAAAATACAAACTCATTTTTAGAAAATAGAAAATAAACTTTTAAAATAAAGAATTAAGAACATTTTAAAAAATAATATGGTACGGTTAAAATTAAAATGAAATGTATATAAATATAAATAAACGTGAAGCAATTTAAACTAAAAAATGAAATCAACAAAAAAGTTTAAAATGTAAATAAAATATTGTTTGAACAATGCAAATCAAGATGTTTCTGCTGGACATTAAGACTTATCTATTTTGTTTAATTCAACTTGCATTTATACAAGTTAGTTGTTAAATTGCACACTTTCAAACATATTTTTCCATCTTAGGTTTTACATCTAGTAAACATCATATTTCACTTTTATCACACATTCTTTAGTTTATTTGTTTTTAAATAAAAAATCCTCAATTTTAATTTTACTATATTAAAAACTAATGTCATGACCATAAAAGGGCATGTCCCTTTTTGTGTTTTGATATACATTATTATTTTTACGGACATAAACTATTTAAACAAATGCTTCTGAAGTTTTGCAATTTTTTAATGTAACTAATAATACGTTATATACAGTTTCTTTACGAATTTTACCCAACCAAGATCTACAGGGAGTTTTTTTGCTGTCTGGTTATGGTCTGTACTGTGTGCAATCCGTAAATATTTTGAAATTTCCCCTAAAAATTATAATTAGTTTCGTCCACACTAAGAGATTGGCAAGTCCATTTAAGGTATATGGGGTGGTAAGGATAAAAGAAAAATTGCTAAAAGATCAAATGTTTTACTGAATGTTATCACACAATTAACAGATATATATATACCTGGCTTCTGAATTAGAATGAGAGATATATATATTTGTCCGTTTTCTTATAATTAGGATGAAACTGTAATACAATTTTTGCATTTTTGTTTAAAAAAAATATAAACTATCACAATTTGCGAAGTTGCAATCTTTATATTTTCTATGTTCTATGTTCTTTACTAAGAACCATAAAGATAATATGAAGAAAATGCGCAGTTTTTTTTATCTTTTAAATGTTTGTATGGGACAATGTTTTAATGTTGATGCAAAAAAATACAAAAAAAATAGAATTATTGGAAAATAGAGATGTTTGAATAAAGTTTTAACTATTGTGGTTCTAAGTAACACCATGGAATAACATGTCAAATGTAAATTTCACCAGAGGCATTCGAGATAAAATGTGTGTACATTACTCATATTCGTCGAGCTTTTAGGTCTATACTGATATATACATGTGTAAATATTTATTAAAACACTGTAACTATTCCCACTAAAAGAAAACAATGCCATTGATTCGAGTTGATGGGTATCAAACAACATATTTTCTGAAAAGAATTTCAATAGTAATATGTCCTTTTTATCATAAAATATGTTTCAATTGTCACTATTGTAATGAATATATTTTTATTAAGTTTCATTTTAGTAGAATTTTATACTTGTGTGTATTTGTTACTTTTTGTTTAATTTTATGTTTTTTTTTTCTATTCGGAATTGTCACAAACATTAACTTCAACGATAACTGTGTGCATAAATGTTATGTACTGTATTAAATTTATAATCATATTGCAATTCAAGCCGCAACAAGAAAAAAGTTTGTTTATCATGAATCTTGCAATATTTTCAACGCATACATCATTTTTCCGTGTAATATGAAAATATATTGAACGGTTTCTTTCATTCAAACACAAGTGTGATACATTGTATATCCCTGTATCTCACTGACCACATGTGCGTTTATTATATACTTTAACAGTACAATACAACAGTACGTGTTTTCATTTATACTTTGATGTTGTTTCTTCGTTGTGTGTTTAATGTTAACGGAAATACATGTACATGTATATAATAAATTGCGGGCTAAGTCTGAGAAAGACATTTTTACGCTTATTTCATCAACATATTGGTTACAACTATCCTAAGGTGACATACATTCAAATTATTGCGCACCCGAATTGTCGTTACAACATACTATCATTTTTCATTTATTGAAAACTAATTTTGTTTTAAATTCAAATCAAAATTTCATATCGTCTGCTTTTTACGCGATGCAAAATGACTTATATGTACATACAATATGTTGAGATGAAGTGGCTATTCTGCAGAGATGTAAAAAACTAAATCTATTTGAATTTTTCAGTAGTGCAGTTTCTAGTTACAGAAATGTATAGGGTAACGAAATGTCATTAAATCGTTAGGAGATGCCGCCCAA